TTGAACCCAAAACTTCATGCAGAGTCCTAAACGCCGTAGCCCCCGTGACCCTGAACCCTGAATCCTGCACCGCGATGGGCCAGACCGAACCTGCACATAATGTAGGGGCCTTTATAATAATAATAACAATAATAATAATAATTAGAATAGGGTTTTGGGGGTTCCTTATTTATAATTATAGTATAATATCCCCAAGACCCTATTGTATACTTATTGAGGCCCGTATATTGGCATTGGTTCGGGCCCTGGTCTGCTTAGGGCTTCGGGGTGAGAGCGAGAGGGGTTCCGGGTTGTCTAGGATTCAAGGGTTTAGGGTTTAGGGTTTAAGGGTTCCGGGGCTTCGAGATTTGGGGGGTTTAGAGTTTCGGGTTTAGGGTCATAGGGGGATAGAGTCCTCAAGGGTTAGGGTCTGGGGTTCTGTCTAGGAGCCCTTGGACCCTGACCATCGTTGAACAGACGTCCTCAGCAGCAGTCCTTATGGTGAGAGGTAGACAATCCTCTGCCATGAATCGTGAACTACTTCCCGAAAGCCGTAATAAGTAGCTAAGCAGACGCCCCAATACCAGTGTAGGCCCTAGGCCGCGCATCGGCGACTCGTCAAAGTATAGAAGAACCTCGAAACCCTAGCCCAACGAAAATCAAAACCTTCATAGTATCATAGTCAGTCAAAAGTACCATTGTTAGGGTAACGTACCTATAACGATAAGGGTAGTCACGTCAATTACTAAGTTGTGATTGTCATTACATCATTGGTGGGCTTAGGGGCAAAAAACCTGTAAGCGGGCCGACGAAGATTTGCTTTTTCTCCTGGCTCGGCTGGTGTCGGGAGGGTTGCGCGAGCCTAGTGCGAGCTTACTAAAGCAAGGTTTCTGTCATTTTTCGGGTTTGTTTGGTTTTGTTCGAAGTGTCAGGCTTCTTCTGGCGAGGGCGGAAGCCGCGCTCCTGCTGGGGCTGATGCTGGCGCAAAATGCGCCAGAGGCCAAACATTTTTGGAGTCTCTCGCTGTGCCACTCTACACCCTGGTTTCGGGATTTTCATGTTGTGTTCATGGAAGCTACTGAGTACAACTTCACTTCGTGTGCACTGCACTGTCAGACACCCAACTTCAACAACATGAGAGCCCAAACGAGTCGGCACAACTTCGGGTATCATGACTGCATGCCCTGCTACGTCGTAGCAGTATGGTGGACCCCTAAACCCTCGCTCTAGCTGTGTAAGCTCCTTTGGCGAGCTAGGCCTCAAAGCAGCCTAAACCCATGTTTGAATTTAAGCCATTGTCAGCAACCGAATCCGAAACCCTGTGCACTCCAGACCCTCAACCCCAAACCACCTAAACCTTAAACCCCAAAACCAGGAAAAAACAAAACAAAAACTTTTAAAAAAACCCTAAACCCCAAACCCCCGAAACCCTAAACCCAGGCAAAAGAAATCCCCTAAACCCCTAAACCCCAAACCCGCTAAACCCTAAACCCAAGAGAAGGCAGATGCGGATCTCGCCGCCGCGCTGACCCCGGAGATGCTAAGCAACGGGACGGGTCTCATGCTCACGAGGCCTTGATTGGTTCGGGGTTAGGGCTTTTAGGATTTAGGCTTCTAGTTCGGGTTTAGGATTTAAGGGTTTAGGGGTTTAGGGTTTAGGGTTTTGGTTTAGGATTTAGGCTAGAGGGTTTAGGTTTAGGATTTGGGGTTTATAGTGTTTAGCGCCGAGAAGGTGTTTTGCTTTTAAGTTGCCTACGACATGACGGGACTGTAGGATTCTCACTCAGGGGCTAAGATGTAGACAGATTTGCCCTGCGGGGTCGCGTGCGGCTGCTGTGTACGGTCATGCCATTGGTTCCCCTGCACATGCTACCAGCTCACTCTCTGACTCTTTGTTCATCTCTCTGGGGCGTTATCGGGTTTTGGGGGGAGTTTCCGAGACTTCAGGACCTTGAGCCAGGGTCTCTTGAATTCTACGTGACGGTCTTCAAATTTCCGCCGATTTGCTGCCTGTTATCTGTTCGCGGTCAGTCCTTCAACCCCCGAACCTTTAGCTGTCCGTAAAGCTTTAGCTGTCCGTACAGCACGCATTAACCGCGCCTCTACCCTAAACACCCAAACAGTGAAGCCTAAACCCTCTACAAATGGTAGCTCCGGTTCTTGACAGGCTCGCAACATTCGAGGACTTCCGACTGGACTGGCTCGTGCCGCTCGCTGCGGAGAAGGGCGAACGGTGTTGAGTTTTCCAGGTTTTCTAGGGCGTCGGGGGCTGTAGAGTCGGGATTTAGGAAAAGCTCGGATTTGGCTGTTCTCAGTGGTGTGGGGTTTGGAGTCGAGGGTTGATGATGGGGTTCAGCGTACCAGTTTCTGGGTTTTTTCAAGGCGCCTCGAGCACAAGAGCAGGAAAGAAAAAGCCGGCGCTCTCCCCCAAACCCCACCCACTCCTGGACTCCTAGACCAGACGAACAAACGGAAGCCCCAAACCCTCAAGCACAGCCTAATCCCTAAACCCTAAAGCCCTAAACCCCTAAACCCTAAACCCCTGAACCCTAAATCCGTAAACCCTTACATCTTGATGATCCCTGATGAAAGCTGAAACCCGGAGCCGGGGAGGCTTGGAGCGGCGAAGTGCGGAACGACCTCGCTTCAGCAGCCTGGATGATATGGGTTTGTTGCTAGTTTGGGTCTCATCTTTACCGGTACTCTACCATAATCCCGACGTGTTTAGCGTTGTTCTGAATGCTGGCCTTTTTTTCGAGCCTCTAAGCAACGAGGACAGGAGCATGCATTCATAGGTGCCTAAGGGCAGCACTAGCCGAAGCAACCGCAGCCGAGCCGAATCCCGCGCAGTGATCACTCGGCGACCGGGCGAGTAGTAGTAAGCGTATGGGGGGTTTCAGGGTTTAGGGAAGCATATGGGCAAGTGAGAAAGACAGCAGCTTGCCCGCCCGTCTTTCTCAGCAATTGACGACCATGGTTCATGGACAGCACCTGGCTTCTCAGTGATGGGTCCTTCCCCCTACGCTCTCAAGCTTCGACCCTCAGTTTCAATTCTCCTGGGATAGGTCGGGCTTCTTTAGCTTCTACGAAGATCATGGGAAAACTAAGAAATCAGCCCCAAACTCCCAGGCCCCAAGCGACGGGCCCTTCATTCCGAAACCCCCTTGAATCCCAAACCCCAGAGCCCGGAGACCTTGCCCGCGCCAAGGTACAATCTAGGCCTGCACCCCCAGCTTCGGCTCGCCAGCTGCATGTGTGTTACTTGGGGCTTAGGATTTTCGGGCTCATTCGTAGTGTGCTCTTCTTCTTTGTAACCTCTGCTTGAGGCTTCACTTTGCAGAAAGGCTCGTTCTTGCAAGCTTACGTCCTCGTGGTTTCAACTTCGGGGTGCAAGTTGGGCTTTCCGGGTTTGGGAAGCTTAGGTTTTGGGCGAAGGGGTGTGTGGGCTTTACCGGTTGGAGAAGACGCTTGCGGTGCTGAAGTTCTCAGCCTTGGGATCTCAGAACCCCGGATGCAGGGTAGAAGAAGTGAGAGTTTAAGGGAAGAGTGTTGAGTTGAGAGCTTGTTACCCAAAAGCCCATGCACTCTTTCAGCACCCATGCTACGAAGCTGCTGATGAACGACGAAGATTCCGGATGAATAGGAACACCAGTTTGAGAAGGCTTTCAAGATCCAGCCAGACCTCTTAGGTCTCTGGCTTGGAAGGGACAAGGCGTGTGGGAAACACCCGAATCCTGAACCCTCAGTCCCATGCCAGACTCGTCGAATGTAGGAGCCCGGATGCAGAACGACACTCAGAAGATGTACCTCGCTGTAGTGGCCCTTCCAGCAAAGGCTGGACTTCAAACCGACATCCCGCAAGATGCACCTCGAAGCCCTAAAGCCCCAAATGCCGAGACCACCTAGATCTCTACGAAGTGCACCAAGAGGCATGAACCCCTAAACCCACAAAGTCCTAAACCCTGGAACCCCGAAGCCTTAAAGCCCATTGTTCCACCCTGCCGCCACCAACCCTAAAACAGGGAAAACTACAGACTCAAAGAACACTGAAAACCCACCCCGACGAAAGGCTGAAATCGACCCACAGCGCCACCTTCTCCCACGCCTTCCTGTACTCCTCCTCACGGTTTCTGCCTGCGCAGCACCTGCAAAGAACCTCGGAGATCCTGTTGCTAAGAGAGGGTGAATTTTATACGGGCTGTCTTTTGGTCTAGTATTATATGGGTCTACAGGGTAAATGTTAACCATGTGGCTCCAAATTCCTTAAGCTCTGCTCGCTTACTGTCTCTGGATTCTGTGGAATTTAGTTCGCTGCTGCTTGCTATCCCGGCCGAGCGCAAACATGTTGTGAGCGCCGTGCTTCGTCACGCGCTTTTGTTCGGTTGAGATGTGCATGGGCTGTTCGTTCACGAGGCAGCTGAACTGAAGTATGTCTCCATTGCGGGTTGAAGTCCAGGTTCGGTTGGGTGCCAGTGGAAGCCGATGTAGGAACCGTCTGGTGTAGGTTCAGGGTTCAGGTCCTGAGTTTTTGACCGGTTTTGGGCAGTTTTGTGCGGTTTTGTCCGGTTGTGCGTTTTGCTTTTGCGGTTTGGGCTGGGCAGAGCGGGCAGGGCAGGGCAGGGCAGGGCAGGGCAGAGGGCAGAGGGCAGGGCAGGGCAGCTAGTGCCCTGAAGCGGAAATTGGTTTACAGTTTACAGAAATTAATTGGAAAGTGTCGCGACCGGAAATACGTCTCCTGATGGTTTTGTGCGGGTTTTGTCCGGTTTTGGGCGGGTTTTGCTTTTTGCTTTTGCTCGGTTTAGCGCGAGTGTAGTGCGGGCTTTGTGCGGTCAAGCCAACCGCCAAAGCAAAATTGACTTTGGAATTTTTAATTTGCATGTCTACACTACGCGCCGCGGAAACACATTTCTTTCTGGAGCTTTCGTTTCTGTGCTTCTAGTCTGTCCGTCGAACAAACAATTTCTACTTGTCCTGGGCTTGAGGGTTTAGGTTTAGGGTTTAGGGTCAGTTCTTCGTCCAAGGAGAGTTCTTCAGCAGAAGGCCCTGCGAACTCAAGGGCCACCCGGATCAGCGACCCTTGGATTCTTTTGAAGGTTTCTTCGGCTAGTTCGGGTACGCACGTGGGATTTGAAAGTTTTTACAGGTCCACCCTACAACACGTTAAACCCGAAACCTATGAGTTAGGTGGACTCCCATCCCCGGAAATGTCGCGGCTTTCGAGGTAAGGGCTCGCCGCGAGAGCTCGCCGCTCCAGCCGAGTAGCCCGTCACGCAGTCAGCGTGGTTTGAGCTATCGTGGTTCATCGTGGAAAGTTCGGAGGTATGTAGGATTCCGATGAGGGTTCAGTCGCTTTGTGGTTCGGTCGGGAAAAAAGTCCCATAGAGCTGGTTCTGCAGTCTGCTAGGGCTGCTTGCTCCAACTCCGGGCAAAGTGGAAATCCTGAGAGACCGCGAGGGACGGCTAGACACAAGGATAGGTATAATATAGGAGCCTTAATAATTAGAATAGGGTTTTGGGGGCCCATTATACTATCCTTATGATAAAGAACCTCCAAAGTAGAATTGGTATTTATTTAGGCCCCGATAACAGAGATCTGTGATGCAAGTGTGCGTGCATGTGCCCCAGCCAGGCGGGAAGTCGCAGGCTGCAGAGTTGCATGCAGGCTGAGCAAACAGACACAACAACAATCATTCAGAGTCACAGGCATAATCTTTGCCACAGTGGAAAAGCCCTGGAGGACGGGTCCTCCCCCTGCAGGGAATCATAGAAGATCATTCGGAAGACCTTCCTCCCTGTCCCCGCGCCTCAGGTTGGTGGGCTGCTCGCTGGTTGCAGACCTCACCCCGCTGTACGAGGAGGGGCGATGTGATGTAGGAAGCTGGAAGAGGGTGACTGGCAAAAGAACAGAGTGAATAGAGCCCTGTGAACCCCCCCCCCTGTTGTGGAACCCTCAATAAGCTCCTTATAGAATCCTATAGGAGGAATCCTTATCCCACAAGACAGAGGCTGCCTAACTCGTGCATCAGCACGAAAGCTCTAATGCTTCAACGAACCTCGATGACTGACACTGCGCCCCTTGACCCTAAACCCTAAACAGGCATGTCCGAGTGGGAGTGCTGAAACCTTCAGTTTCTGGAGTTCGAACGTGTTTCCCTGCTCTGCGACTTTGTCGCTGGGCGGGTGGGGAAAATCGTCCCAAACGCTTCCCTAAACCCCAAACCCTCCCCCAAACCCTAAACCCGAAACCCTTCTCCGGTGTCCCAGGATGGCACTGGCGATCTCCTGAGCAACCTCTCAGTCCCCGAGGCAGCTTTTGCCTTAACGAAAATCGGAAAAGAATTCCACAGGGATTGGGGTTTGCTCAGACATTCAGCGTTTGCACAAGCCCTGATGCAAATAGAAGGGTTGTAGGTTCCTGATGCTTTCTGCCATGGGCGACAGCGATAAGCTTTCTGCTTGTGCGGATTCTGTGAGCTTTCTCTGGCTTTAATGCTGTGCGCGTGTCCTTGTTCCGCCCCCCGGTGACCTAACGGAGGAAAGACACATCGATTGAGGTACCTCGTTTTTAAGGGATGCCAGTCTCGGACGTGCGTGAAGTTTCTACGGCCCGAACTTCAAGCTCAAATCCCTGAGCAGTTGCCGAAGTGAAACGGTAGGACACGAGAAAGAGGTTGTCGCGTGCACCGTAGCAGCCCCGCGAACCGACTCCGGAGCTCCTTTTGAATGGCGGAGCGGCAGCAGCAATTCCCGGAACCCATCTTCCTTCACACCAGCGGCATGCGACAGCATATTGAGAACTACATGGAAACAATTCGATCCCTTCGAGCCCGACTGGTCTCATGGTTAGCAGATCTATGTTCCTTCGGCCGCGGGTGAATGGCTGGTATGTTTCGGAAGCAGTGCGCCTCCCTCTTCCACTCCCCCAGACCATACCCTACAAGTATCTGCGAGTCCTAATACGTGAACCGCACACCCCCGGAGACGCCAGATGTTAAGAGCCCTGCAACCCGAAGACCCCTACCCTACTTCAGTCCCCAACAAACTCGGCGCGTGCGCGAGGCGCGACCGGAGCACTTCCTCTTCCCCTTCCTTCTCTCGAGCCTGCTCCTGGGCCAGAGACAGGTTTTCATGTGTGGAGTTTGCGGCTTTTCTCAGGGTTTAGGGCAGTTTAGGGCTTCAGGGCCTGCAAGGCTAGTGGATTTAAGACGCTTGGGTAGAGGATGTGACGTCGTTCCATAGCTCTACTTTGCGCAGAAATACGGGTATGCACACGCGCATAGGGAAACAGCCGTGCTCTGCGTCGTCGCTGTCAGGTGACCGAGGGCCGCGAGAGAGCGAGAGACAGAGCGAGTTTTTGTAGATGGGTGTGAGTCCTGAGCATGTTCGTTCCTTGCAGTGGTCCTTTTCAGCGTCCTGTCTTCTTGTTCGACCTGATCTTGCAAGCAATCTGGATCCATAGGATTCCGGAAATCGTCGATTGGATGCAGTATTCATGGGCTATGCTTTTAAGTGGCCGGGGGTAGCTTTGTTCTAAGAATGACTCTGTCTTACTTCCTCGCTCCTTGACTTGTTTTGTAACCGGGGAAGGAGGAGTGGTGAAACCTTGGGATACTGGAATCGTGCTTGCAGTTTCCATCGGGGAAAGTTCATACTGCTCATCAGGAGGACTGTCGGGTCGCTCATTTTGAGTGAAGTGTGAAGCCGATGGCCCACAGCTGAGAATATTTCAGTGGCAGTCGTCACCGCAAACGAATGGATTCTCTCTTTTCTCGCTCCCCTGATCTCGAAAACGGTTCGGGTGGGCTTGAAGTCCGCAGGACCTGACCAGTCCCTGATGCCCAGGCGCGAGAGAGAGAGAGAGAGAGAGACAGAGTGTGTGTGTGTGTCTCTGTGCCCGCGGGATTAACAGATCTCCTATGCCCCATGGAGGAAGAGAGAGGGTGTGTAAGTGAAATCGAGAGGGATTGTCGATTTTATGGTTCAGAGCTTCAGCGACTTCAGCGATTTCGGGCGTTCTCCCTAGCAGGTGCAATAACAGCTGGATGTCAAAAGGGTGTTTCTTCATGGACAACAAGATTGAAAAGCCAGCGTGTTTGAAGAGATGATTCCACAGCTCAGGCTCCGGAACAAGCCACACCTGAAGCTCCTCTATGCTGTCAGAGATCCTCTCGCGACTCGGCTGCCGACTTTTCCGTGTGCCCCCCAAGTCTCCAAACCCCTCAACCCTGCAAACGTGTAGCCCCAAACGAAATCGATCCTACAAGCTGAACTCTGAACCCATAGAGCTGGAAGAGCCCTACACAAACTATATAATTAATATAATTGCAGATCCTGAGATCCCCGAAAGAAGCGGAGAAACTCCACGTCCCCAGGAGTGCTTCTTGTCGCTGAGCTCCTGGCGCCAAGCCCAGAACCCCTGGTGTTTCCAGGAGCCGATTTATGTGTTTCATGTGTTAGAAGATGACAATGAGGTCTTTAAGAGATTGTGTAGGGTTTTGTCTGGGTGGTATGACGAGGGTTTTTGGGTTGAGGAGGGTTTTTGGGTGTTAGGGTTCGGGTTCGGGATTTCAGGGCAACTTTGCTATTTCGATACGCAGCTGCGAGAAACATTAAGAGTTCGTGTCATTTGTAATGCATGGTCCCTTATGCTACGATGGTAGTAGTAGGAGCGGCAGCAATAGTAGCAGTAGTAAGACCGAGTTCCTAGACCCTAAAGGAGGCAAATCCCCAGACCCGAAACCTTAAACGCCCAAACCTCAAGCCTCGAAGCCCCCGACCCCTAGAACACTGATGCATACGAGTAGTATTTTCTTTATTAGGGTCCCTTTTTAGGGTCATTTCTATAAGGGTGTCGTACTACATTCGGGATCTTGGGGGGGAGCCTAATTTAGGGAAGTACCCATATTCTAGGACTCTTTTATAGGAGCCCTCATAGCACGTAACCTTCGTAGGATTCCTTGCAGGACCCTTGTTTCGAAGCCTTCCACCAGCCCTTACGGGAACTAAGATTGGAGCCTTGGGTTCAAAGGACCTTTAAAACAAACGGCATGTGCCCAAAACCCGCAGGAAGACCTCGGGGACCAGGGCTCTGCCTGGCAATGCTGGCAGAACGTCGGCCACTGCCGGCTAAGCCAGGCCCTCGACTTAGCCTGCTCTTTGGGCTCCATGGGCTGCTTGGAGTTCAAGAGCGGGTTTGGGTTTTAGGTGGCTTTTGCTTGGGGCTTTTGGGATGTGTAGGGTTTGGCATGTTGAGCAAAGGAGCCTGGCTTTGGGGGGATTCGCTTCATTCATGGTAGTACCGGCTTCTCAGAGTCTGGGCTTCTTCGCCGAGGAGGTGTCCGACTACTAGCAAATTCGAGCTCCCGTAAAGTCCCGGGTCGGGGTTTGGAGTTGCGCTGAAGCCCAGAATTCCTTACTTCCAGAACCCGGAAATTACTTGAAAGGAATCCTTATAGTAGCCCGTCTAGGATTCCTGGTTCCCTTACAGGGACCCTGGCAGTACTCCGCTTGAATCAGTGACCCTGGATAGCAACCCTCCATAGGAACCTCTGGAACCCTTTCGATATCCTATATAGACAGCTTCCTCGTAGCCTTTATGGAAAGCTGAATAGACCCTACAAACCCTAAACCCTCAGCCCTAAACCCTAAAAGCCCTAAACCAGAAAAAAACCCTCCACCCTCAACCATAGAGCCTTAAGCCTGCAACGAAATGGGGATCCAAGGCTGTACCCTCAGCCCTAAACCCCCAAAACCCCAAAA